TATGTGTTAATACATTTTATCCTGACAGCCCTAGGAGAATAACATCATTCTAAATTTGCAGACAGGGAACAGAAACAGAGACGGTAAACAATTTACCTCAGGCCACACAACTAGTTAGTTGTACAATTAGGAATTCCACCCAGGCATCCTGGTTTCAGAGCTCATGTCCTTATTCACTTTAATGCTTCTTTTGTTTTCATTCTTTTGTGGCTAAAGTGTCTTTTCTCTTTGTCAGATTTTAGATTTTCTTTTTATCTTTGGAGCACTGAAATTTTATCAGGATGTGTCTAGCTGTAGCTTTCTCTTTTTTCATCAAACTTGTTTTGTTTTTGGAGAACCTTTTAAATCTAGGGACTCATATTTTTCTTTAGCCCTGAGCCAGTCTTCTTAAATTACATCTTCTCACTTTATGTTTTTGATTATTTTAATCACCCATTCTGGTATCCCAGTTATTTCCTCTGGGATTTTAAAAAATGGATTCTATAAGCTTTGATCAGTCTTTCATGTGTATTAATGTTTCTCTTATTTTTATCTCATTGTGTTTCTGGACTCTGTCTTTTAACTTGGGATTCTGTGTTACTGTTCAGGAAACTAATTTATTTTGTATCTGCAATCTTGCTTTTTTATTGCATTTTAGGTTTTGGGGTACATGTGAAGAACATGCAAGATTGTTGCATAGGTACACACATGGCAGTGTGGTTTGCTGCCTTCCTCCCCTTCACCTATATCTGGTGTTTCTCCCCATGCTATCTCTCCCCAACTCCCCACCCCGCCACTGTCCCTCCCCTACTTCTTCCCGACAGACCCCAGTGTGTAGTGCTCCCCTCCCTGTGTCCATGTGTTCTCATTGTTCAACATGCGCCTATGAGTGAGAACATGCGGTGTTTGATTTTCTGTTCTTGTGTCAGTTTGCTGAGAATGATGGTTTCCAGGTTCATCTGTGTCCCTACAAAGGACACGAACTCATCGTTTTTTGTGGCTGCACAGTATTCCATGGTGTATATGTGCCACATTTTCCCTGTCCAGTCTGTCATTGATGGGCATTTGGGTGGGTTCCAGGTCTTTGCTATTGTAAACAGTGCTGCAATGAACATATGTGTGCATGTGTCCTTATAATCCTTTGGATATACAGCCAGTAATGGGATTGCGGGATCAAATGGAATTTCTATTTCTAGGTCCTTGAGGAATCGTCACACTGTCTTCCGCAATGATTGAACTAATTTACACTCCCACCAACAGTGTAAAAGTGTTCCTATTTTTCCACATCCTCTCCAGCATCTGTTGTCTCTCCATTTTTTTAATGATTGCCATTCTAACTGGCGTGAGATGGTATCTCAATGTAGTTTTGATTTGAATTTTCAAGACTGCTTTCTTGTTCCTGTATTTTTTTTCTTTTCAACAGCAGTATGCAAACTCTTATTTCATAGATTCAATATCTTTGATTCTCTATGAAAATTCTAGTTGGAATTTTTAAAAGTTCTCTTCTGCTTTTTTAAGAATATTTTGATTTTTTTGGTTTGTTTCTTTGTCTTTATTTTTGGTGTTTATTTTCTGTCTGGTTAGTATTTTATATTTGATGATCCTTACTTTTATATGGATATTATACATTTTAAAAATTACAGTGCTTACTAAAAAAGCTGACTGAGGTTTTCCTAACCTGTCTCTCTCTTAAATGGGAGGGAGTCTTTGAATGACCACTCCACTCATTCCTTCTGGGCTCATCTAAAATGTCACTTTCTTGGAGATACTGTCTGTAGCAATCCTGTTCAATTCATTAAAACTCTTTTATTTTTTAAATCATACTTAACTTTCACATATTTAAATTTTTATTGATTTTTTTTCTACCAGATGATAAGTTCCTAGAGTGCAGCAAAGCCCACTTTTGTCCATTTCAGTGTACTCCCATGCCCAAGTGTAGTGCGGTCACACAGCAGGTGTTTGTTCATTCAGTAGTTGTTGAATAAATGCATTCTGTTTGCTTTCCCTTCAGTTTCAGAGACTGTACTTACTTTGGTTATAAATACTTTTCTACCTACCAATCCTGTGCAATATTGAGTTCTAACCTTATTTCGCTGCTGTTCTTAACGGTTGGTATGAAGTGAAGACGTGAGTTCTCCCAGAATCGGCTCCCAAAACAGGGATTTGAGGGCAAATCGTTCATTTTGGTGTTACAGAATATCCAGGAGACTGGAGAGACCAGTGGGTGAAACGAGAGGATTTTATTAAGCTGACCACCAGCTCAGCAAATTAGCATCCCAAGTCTGAGCCCCGGAGAAATAAAATGGGGTACTTTTATACATCCAGGATGACGTAGCAGCTAACATGTTTATGGAAGTCAGAACAAAGAACAGTTAATTAATTTGCAACATGTCTTGTGATGCATATTACATTTGAAAAATAGTGTTTTGAGAAACTCATTGTAGATTTTTTGAGTGTTATCTTGCCCTGTGACCTTGCAGCTGGTTAGCAATGAAAACAGGAGTCTTGAGATGCCTGGTAACTTTGCTTAGAATGTGGGAAGAATAGATAAGGTAGATTTTACAGGGAGGGAATTAATTTTAAGCAGTGCTGGGGGTTAGGTTTTATATTAAACAGCATACAACACAGCAAAATGTATTTTTTATATAGCAACTACAAATTATTAGGTTTTATTTTTACTATTACTGCTATTATTTAATTCCCTTCTTCATTGGGAGTGATCAGTAGTGGCCAGAAACTTATTTTGGGAGTGACCCAGAGTTACTAATCAGCAACCTTCAGTGATTTCTTCTACCTGTGATGTATACTCATTTCATCAGTTGTTTTTAGTAATCAGGTGACTTCATATTTCTATTTCTAGTCCAGAAACCTGGCCACCTTTCAGCATGCTTTATCCGAGCCCCGTCATCCACCCTCTTGTCCTTGCTAGGATCCGAGGTGTCATCCATGACACTCCCACCTCTCCCTTCCCGTGTGGAATCTATTGTCAAACTATGTCACATTTATCTTCACAGTGTCCCCCTGATAAATCCACGTCTCTCTAGGTCTGAATAGCACCCCATTAGTTCAAACCACCATCGTCTTTCTGCAGGACTATTTCAGTAGCTTTCTCTATGCACTTCCCCATCTAATTTCTTCTCTGTACTAAAGATAGAGTAATGTTTACCAAATGCAAGTGTGATCAAATTACAACCAGTTTAGAACCCATCAATGGCTGAATTGTGCTCTGAAGGTAAAGATGAAACACCTTAAAATTCCTTAAAAGACTGCATGGCTTCCTTTTTCTCTATCGTTAGCTGACCTTTTTCTGTATCCTTATCTGACTTTACTTATCCTTTTCTCTAACCTTATCTGAAACAACCGTACCCTCTGCTGCAGCAACACTAATGTCTTTTCTGAATCTGCTACTTTCCATACTGTCCCGTCACAGGTCACAGGACCTTTGCACTTGCTGTTCCCTTTGCCAAGAATACTTTGTGTTGCTTTTTGAGGAGCAAATTAACTATAAGGGAGTATTCTTTCCTTCACATCTCATTAATTCTTTAGGGAAGCCACACCCATATCTGTGCCTTTTGTCACATTTGTGATTTGAAATTCTTTGTATGATTATTTGATCAATCTTTGCTTTTTTACTAGACTGCTTGCTCTGTGGAAATTGTAACCATATTTTTTGGGTTCATTTTCTTTGTTTTAGGAATAAGTACAGTTCTAATTTTTTTTCTTTTGTTACAGGGGTGCCATTTACATCAAATATAGGCATTTTAGAGGTGCCAAAATAAAATATATCAGCCATATTTAATAAAATCCAGTTCTACTCTTCTACCCTGTAGCTCAAGAAGCAGCAACAATGGGTAATTCTCAATCTTTGATATTAGCAGTCTATAAAACAACAATCTGGTGAGATATTGAGATTCAGTAATATTACAAAGTAATTGGATATCCATATTTCCTTTTCTTAATAATTACTAAATTATATATACATGTAAACATATTGATGGTTCAAAATCTCTTTTTTTTAGGGTTAAAGGATCATGCAGTGTTTTTCAGGGAAATGACAGACTTAATTTTGTATGAAATGCCAAAAGCTGGGTAAGTATTGTGAATTATAAAAGAAAGAGCTATACTATTATATGCTCCGTGTATCCACATACCTCTTAACCCATATACACATACAGGATCACTCAACTGTTTATCTTGGAGCAGCTTGGAGATGATGGGAATGCACTCTTCTTCCTAGAGTTGTCATAGCTCTCACTGAACAGATTATTTCCTAAAGCAATCAGATTTATGGAGCTGGGGGTTATGTATGCCCTTATCCAGAATAACAGCCTTTAGAATCACATTCTCAAGTTCAAATCCTGGCTCTGCCATTTAGCATTGGAGAAATTCCTTTGCCTCTCTGGGCATAATTTTCTTTTAATAAAATAGTAATTGTGCTATCTCCTTCTTATAAAGGACAGTTGCTTAAATGAGGTATTTGAAAAGACATCATAGACTGACATGAGGCATGCAACAAATAGTAGCTTATGCAATAATAATAACAACAGCAACAAAGTCTCTGTGGAAATCATCTGTGATTTTTATTCTATTTTATTTTAGGTATTCCAGCATATTAAATGACTTTGTGGAATCTAATTTTTTTGTGATTGATGGAGACTCCTTGCTTGTCACATGCCTATGTGTAAAATCATTCAAGTGTGGACAGAATCTCCACTTCTTCTATCTGGTTGAATGCTATCTTGTGGATCTTATGAGTAACGGAGGACAATTTTCTATAGTTTTCTTCAAGGTAATGTATGATGATTGATGTCTTTTTAATCCTTTGAAAACTATAACTGAAATCTCTTAAGCTAAAGAGTATTTTACTTAAAATGAAGTATGTCATGGAAAATACAAAAAGGCAGATTAACAAAAGAAAATATTACCCATGATTTCACTACTCAGAGATATCCATTCTTTATTTTTTATTTTTTTATTTCCATTCTTTATTTTTTATTTATTAAGTTTTTTTTCTCTCAACTGTATGTTCGCACATTCACAATATAGACCAGGCACAAGTCTGGGATGAGGTGTATATAGGTAGGCTTACTCTAGTTCCCTTTCTATATAGTCAGTGTAAGAATTCAGTGTGTGGTAAGCACCAGGAAGCCCATTCTTTAGTTTTCAATATTTTATTATAAAAATTTCAAATATAGATAAGTTGAAAGGTTGTGTAACAAATATCTATATCTCCACCATCTATATCATACAATTACATTTTATTATACCTGTAAACTTATCCATGCCTTTGAATAACTTTTATTTTAGGGGTACATTTCATATTAGTTGTAGACATTACATTTTACTCTTAAACATTTCAGCATACTTGCCATTAACCGGAGTTTGGTACTTATCTGCAAGTTTTTTTTTTTTTTTTTTTTGATGGTAAAACTTGCATGAGGTGAAATGCACACATCTTAAATGTATTACAAAAAGTTTTTCACCAACCTAATGCCATTTAATGAGCTTTCAAGTGTGCACAGTATTTACCAGTGCATTGAGTTTTGACAAACGCCAAACTTTTGTTCCACAGGACGTCTTCTCATATCCCTACCAAGTTCATCCTCACTCCATCCCTCAGAAGCAACCACTGTTTAAATCCTTTCTATTGTATTTAGATTTGCCTATTCTAGAACTTTATTTATTTTAATTTTTTGAGATGGAGTTTTGCTCTTGTTGCCCAGGCTGGAGTGCAGTGGCACAATCTTTGCTCACCACAACCTCCACCTCCTGGGTTCAAGTGATTCTCCTGTCTTAGCCTCCTGAGTAGCTGGGATTACAGGTGAATGTCACCATAGCTGGCTAATTTTTGTATTTTTGGTAGAGACGGGGTTTCATCATATTGGTCAGGCTGTTTTCGAACTCCTGACCTCAGGTGATCTGCCTGTCTCGGCCTCTCAAAGTTCTAGAACTTTTAATAAGTAGAATTTTACAGTATGAACTTTTTGTATAAACCTTCTTTCATTCAACATAATGTTTTTGAGAGGCATCCATTTTGTTGTGTGTATCAGTATTTTGTTCCTCTTATGCAGTTTTACGCTGAATGACACAGAAGGAAACTAAAATTAACAACAGTTTATATGTAAGCTTGGTTCCTGTCTTAAGGAAAAGAACAAATCAACATGTTTTGTTAGAACATGTTAGAACATGTTTTGTTAGAACAAAAACAAAAACCCTCTAAAAACTTTCACATTACAGTCCCATTTTGTCAACTGGCAGCTGTCTGTGTCCCTTAAATCTTTGATTATCTGCTGCTTTCTGTGTAACAGGCTACAAAGCACACAGACTGTAACTATAGCTTACCAAAAAGGGATACATGGACCATATATATACCCATCACCCAGATACTCTAAACTAGTTTTGAAACATAAACTGCAGAAATCCTGTCTAATACAGCAAAAAAAGACTTTTTTTTTCTTCAGCTGCTAGTGACAACCAATGATGCAATGACAGGAGGGTACTCATCAGAAACATGACATGCCCTCATTTATCCTTTCTATTGCTAGGTTGTGTGTTCTTTCTTCTTGATTAATCTAGTTAGTGATTTATCAATTTTGTTGATGTTTTCAAACACCTAGCTTTTTAATTTTGTTAATTTTCTGTATTGTCTTTTTTTCTTTTTAGTTTCACTGATTTCTACTCTTGTCTTTATTTGTTTCTCTTGGGTTTTTCTTACTCTTTTTTCCACAAGCTTCTTAAATTGAAATTTTAAGCCAAGTTCTTTCTTCTTTTCTATTTATGAGCTGTAATTTTCTTGTAAGCCATATTTTAGCCACATATCACAAATCCGCATTTTTTTTTTTTACCATTTAATTAAAAATAATTTCTGACATCTCTTGTGATTCTTTTTTCTTTGACCAGTGGATTGTTTAGGAGTTTGTTGTTTTAAAAGCTGGAGATATTACACTGATAGATTTCAAAGTATCTAACAAAGCTCTAGTAACCCAAACAGCATGGTACTGGCATAAAAATGGACATTTGTACCAATGGAACAGAATGGAGAACCCAGAAATAAATTCACATATTTACAGCCAAATGATTTTTGACCAAAACATCAAGAATGTTCAATGGAAAGGACAATGTCTTCAGTAAATGGTATTCAGAAAATTGGATATTCACATGCAGAAAAATGAAACCAAACCCTCATTTTCACTACATAAAAATCAATTCAAAATGGATTAAGGACTTAAATGTAGGACCCAAAACTATGAAACTATTAGAATAAAACATAGGGGAAATGCTTCAGGACATTGGTTAGTGCAAAGATCTTATGAAAACCTCAGAAGCACAGGTAGCAAAAGCAAAAATAGACAACTGGGATTATATCAAACTAAAAAGTTTCTTCATAGCAAAGGAAATAATCAACAGAGTAAAGATACACCTTCAGAATGGGAAAAATGTTTGCCATTGTTTATTCTACAAGGAATTAATATCCAAGGATAAGCAGGGAACTCAAACATCTCAACAGCAAAAGTAAAAAAAAAAAGATAATCCAATTAAAATGTGGGCAACTGACCTGAATAGACATCTCTCAATAGAAGACATGCAAACGGCCAACACATATATGAAAGCGTAGTCAACGTTATTACTCATCAGAGAAATGCAAATCCAAACCATAATAAGATAGCATCTTACCCCATTAGAATAGCTATTGTCAGAAAGACAAAAAAAAAAATGCTAGTAAGGATATAGAGAAAGGGCAACTCATTTGCTGTTGGTACGAATGTGAATTAACTCAATAATATGGAAAACAGTATGGATATTCCTCAAAAAATGAAAACCAGAATTACTATGTGAACCATCAATCCCACTACTAGGTATATATTCAAAAGATAGGAAATTATTATGTTAAAGAGATATCTGCCTTCTTGTGTTTATTACAACACTATACATATAGCCAATATATGGAAACCAAGTGTTCATCAACAGATGAATAGATAGAAAATGTGGTGTACACATACACGGTATAATACTATTTGGCTATAAAAAATAAAATTCTGTCATTTGTGGCAACATGGATGACCTTGGAGAACATTATTACACTATAGAGTGGCTATAATTAACAGTAATTTATTGCATTTTTTTCAAATAGCTGGAAGAGCAGATTTGGCATGTTTTTCAACACACGCACACACAAACACACAAATAATTGTGTCTGATGTGATCAATACACTAATTACTCTGATTTGGTCATTACACATTATATACATGTATATCAAAATATCACCCCGTATTCCATAAATAGGGGCAATTAGTCCAGGTGAGCTGGCTCACACATGTAATAAGAACACTTTCAGAGGCTGAGGGGGGAGGATCACTTGAGGCCAAGTGTTTAAGACCAGCCTGAATAACAGAGTGAGATCCTGTTTCTACAATTATAATGTCACTTACTGATAATTTTATAAATTAAAGAAAGTGTTGTTTTAATGTATAAATGCTTGTTTTTTCTATTTGTGTTATTATTGATTTCTAATTTAATTCCACTGTGGTTCTAATTTAATTCCAATTTCAGTTATTTAAACATCTATTAGGATTTGTTTTGATGCCCAATATATGGCCTATTTTGGTGAATGTACCGTGTGTTCTTGGAAATAATATAGAGTCTACAGTTCTTGAATATAATCTTCTAGAAATGTCATTAAGTCAGAGTAGTTGATAGATAAAATTAATTTTTATCTGCAAAAGTAGATACTTATTTTAAGGACACCTAGGAACATGAGGTAGGAGGAAACTTCTCTCAACAATCTTTTTTTGCTCCCTGAATTTTTATCCTTAAATTCCAGGAAGCACTTTAGGATCAAAACTGAGACGAAATTTAATTTACATTCCAGTAGAATGGCAAATTCAATAGAGGCACTATCTTTATTTGAATTGATCTATATAAATATCCTCAACAGTGTATTATACTATGTTTTTTAAAAATTACGGATTGAATGGCTTCAAATTTTAACAAATCTCAACCCAAATACAAAAGTATATTATGAGCCCATTCCCTTATCCTACTCCTAGAGGCAATTGTTGTTTTACTGCTAAGAATTCTAGTCTATATTTGTTCAATCTTTTTACATAGGATTTTTTTTTTTTTTTGCAGGTGGGGATTAGTTTTGGCACCATCAAAAGTAAAAGCAGTGTTTTGATCGATACATATAGAAAAGTCAGGGTTCTTCTTAAATACTGACAGTCTAATAGACTAGATTGTCAATAAAAAAATGATTTAAAAAACCCAATTTTTAAAATCTTTTATTTTAAGTTCAGGGGTACATGTGCAGGTTTGTTATATAGGTAAGCTTGTGTTATGGGTGTTTGTTGTACAGATTATTTCTTCACCTAGATATTAAGCTTAGTGCCCAATAGTTATTTTTCCTGATCCTCTCCCTCCTCCTACCTTTCACCCTGCACTGTGCAGACCCCAGTGTCTGTTGTTCCCCTCTCTGTGTTGATATGTTCTCATTATTTAGCTCCGACTTCTCAGTGAGAGCACGTGGTTTTTGGTTTCTCTTTCTGCATTTGTTTGCTAAGGATAATAGCCTCCAGCTTCATCCATGTATCTGCAAAGGACACGATCTCCTTTTTTATGGATGCATAGTATTCCATGATGTGTATATACCACATTTTCTTTGTCCAGTCTATCATCGATGATTTAGTTTGATTTCATGTCTTTGCTATTGTGAATAGTGCTGCAGTGAACATGCATGTCTTTATGATGAAGCAGTAATGGGATTGCTGAGTTGAATGGTAGATTTGTCAGGAATTTCCAGTTTTCCACAATGGTTGAACTAATTTATACTCCCACCAATAGTGTTAAGCATTCCGTTTTCTCTGCAACCTCATCAGCATCTGTTGTTTTTTGCTTTTTAATAATAGCCATTCTGACTGGCAGATGGTTTCTCTTTGTGGTTTTGATTTGCATTTCTCTAATGATCAGGGATGTTGAGCGTTGTTAATATGCTTATTGGTGGCATGTATTTCTTCTTTTGAAAAGTGTCTGTTCATGTCCTTTGCCCACTTTTAAATGGGTTTTTTTTTCTTGTAAATTTGAAAAATTGAAATTTTGATTTGCTAAGAAAAGATTTACATTGTTTAAGGAGGACATGCATCACCTGGAACATAT